TATATATATATATATATTTTAAAAAGCACATTAACTACTGTTTCAATCTAGAGAACGTAATGGCACTGTTTATTAGCGTTCCAAAGCACCATCGTTTTGATCGCTTATGTCAGTCATCTTAAATCACTTGCATACGTAGCTCAGTAAGTAAATTAACTTTTTGCCTGTCACACTGTAGACATTTAACTGGAAATTGCCATGTCTGACACAGTTAAAAACTGTCTGCAAATGTGACGCCGTTATCAGTTTATAACAGTCTAAATAGATGGAAGTTCTGTGACTGTTTAAGAATTATTTTTCTCTCAGAAACTTTATTAAATAGACTTGAAAAATCATCTTTAGATGTATATTACTGTTTAGCATGTAATTTACCAATGACCATTTAAACTAAACAAAAAAAAGGAAATTTTTGTTGAAGCTGAAACTAAGATTCTTAAATTTCACAGATACATTACCGTTTAAAGAGTTGTCTAGTCGTTTTTTGATCTTACAGGATTAACTAATATTCCTTCGTAATTTTAACTCTACTTTCTTTTTTTTTCCTCGCTTTCGTTCTGTTTATTTTATCTACAGCTTTTTGTCAGCTATGTCGCACATTAAGTTTGAAGTTTTTATCTGAAGCGTTAGAATAAACGCTACAAACCAAAAATTTTGGCCTAAAAATCAATCAAAAACAATAATGAAATTAGATCTTTGTCGCTTTAATAACTTGTGTAACAAATTTATAAAAATCCCAGCTTTTTTTCTGGCATTAAACAACAGATTTACAGAAAGCAAAAAATAAAATAGAAAAAAATCAACAGTACCAGCTGATTTCTCAATAAAGCTTATCGGTTCCGAAGATTCTGCAAGTGGTTATGCAATTGCATTGATAGCTGTTTCAGCCACAGTTTTCACTCTCCACGCTTGATTTTACGTTTTACCACCGAGTTGGTAGTGCTCTTAACAGTAACTTCTCGATGTCATCAATTTCTTTTTAATATAATACTTCTGCAGGATATTCAAGCTCTTTGCTGGGAGTAGTGACAACTTGAATACTTATGCCTTGGTTTCTTGAGGACTGAACATGTGACGACCACCTTTTCAAATTCAGATGACACAAAGTTGCTTCCCCAACACTGAGGATCTCAAATTAAATAGTGCGCTGTTGTTTGCTTCAGAAACCGAAAATTGGCTCTCTCCCAGGAAGTCACTGTTGCTAAGCGGTTTAATTTCTCTGTGGTCATGCCAGCTGTGGTATATCATCATAGTTTGCCCGTGATTCAAGGTATTTACTGCGCCAGAAGAACAACAGATGTGGTAGATCGGCGTTATTTCGTTGCCGGCTAATAAACGATATTGCTTGACGTTTAGTTGCTATAACTACGTTGAGTAAATTGGGAGTCTGATTCGGGTTTTAATTGCTGTAATTACACGCAGATCATCTATTTCCTTCCCACTCTCAAGCAATAGCTCTAATAGTAGCACTTCCCGGTTGTTTAGCATGATTCCTTCCTTATTTTTGAAATGTTTGATTTCCGTTATCTTGCTTTCATTTGATTCTGGAGAACTGCTTTAGTTTTGAAGAAAAACTTTATTAATGGTTTATTAGAGGTTTTTTGTTGAAACGTTTCGTACTCTGACAAAGAGTATTAAAATACTTGAAAATCATATCGGTCCGTTATTTGTTTTGTCCATCACTGAAAAGGTTTTTTAAGAAGAAATTTATTGTTTTTTATCTGTCTTTGAAGAGCTGCTTCGTCATGAGTGATTACGATCGACTGGCTGAACAACTGCGACATCCTGAAAATCCGATTGTCTTTATGGAAATGACTGCTGGTGGTGCACCGATTGGCACAATTAAGATGGAACTTTTTGCGGATGTCTGTCCGAAAACAGCAGAAAATTTTAGGTTGTAAATTTTTTTAATGTAAAATCTAAGAATGCAGTACTTGATGTTTGAATACCGTTGCAAATCATAGCGGATTTCTGTATAGGTTCTTTTCTGATTTGTTTTTTTTTGTGTATTTTTTTCTTTCTTTGGTAAAAAATCATCTTGTTCAATGAATGAGGGGTAATAGCTTAACACTTTTGTACTGGTGAGTATTTTAGACAGTTTTGTACTGGTGAGTATCGTCGTGATGGAGTTCCTGTCGGCTATAAGAATGCGCAGTTTCATCGTGTCATCAAGGATTTTATGATACAAGGCGGCGATTTTGTTAATGTAAGTTTTCACTGTATTGTGTAGAATCTTGCTGTAAAATATGGCATAAAATTTATAGGGTGATGGTACCGGTATGACCAGCATTTATGGTTCTAAGTTTCGAGATGAAAATTTCGATTTGCAGCATACTGGACCTGGAATTCTCTCAATGGTAATTTTTATTTAACTTTAGAAATGTTAATAGTTTTGTTTCTGTGGCCGGGTTGGTTAAAATTCAATTTATTTTTCGTATCTATTGTGATTTGGACGTGGTATCTTTTTTAGGCAAATGCTGGTCCAGATACTAATGGCTGTCAGTTTTTTATAACGTGCGCAAAGTGTGATTTCTTAGATGGCAAACATGTCGTTTTTGGTAATCTCTATATTTCATATATTAATATTTTCAAATCTTTTTATATTCTTGTATAAAAGAGTGAATGGTGTTGTAATAATTCCTAGTGTCTTTAAGACATCTTTGTGGACTTCTTGTTTCAGATTGTTTCAGAAATGGAAGATTCAAGTTTTTTTGTTATAGGGCGTGTGCTAGACGGTTTATTGACAGTTCGGAAAATAGAGAACGTTCCTACTGGCCAAAATAACAAGCCGAAAATTCCAATAGTTATAACACAATGTGGTGAACTTTGATAGATTTATCCTTTTTTTCAGCTTAGTGGTCTCCTTTATTGTGTGATCTCTGCCGAGTTTTTATTAAGTATTTCTGCAATGGCAGAACTTTGTTTCCTATACTTTTTTCAGAACTATTTTTTTTATTTTTGTTTATTTTCAATTTGTTGTGCCTACGCTTGATTCTTATTTATCATATCTTATTTAACAATTAAAGTAATTGAGAAATTATTTGTCTTTATAATTTTTTTAGCAAACTGAAAGGAATTCAGCGTGCTTTTTTGATGCACTGTATTTTCTTCTCGTATGTTAATTTTTTCAGGTTGATCAAAATATCTTTTGAATTGTTGCTGCCGTTTTCAGCGCATCTGGTTAGGATTAATTTTTTTTTGTAATCTGTTTATTAAGTGTGCTGATCTGAATCCTGAAAGTGCTTTGTGGATTTTTCATTCCACTTTTTTTTTCTTTTTTTTTTTTTTGTTGTACCTGTACGTGTTGCTCGTGTGGGTGACGCTGATAAAATTTCTCGATCCTGCAAAGTGTTGAAGTTTTTTGGTGTGTTGACTGTCATTCAGTATTGTTCAGTATTGTTTGTTCTGAATGTTGTTCTCCTTTCGAAAGCTACAGTCTCTTCGGCAGGTTGAGCATTTTTTTCTTTTAAAGAATTTCTGCAGTTTAGTCGTGTTTATTTGGCCGTTTTCAAGCACATTTACATTTTCCGCTTCGATGCGGAGCTGGAGATTTGGCTTTAGCTCTAGTTTTACAGGATCTGCGTCTTTAAGTGTCATAATGCTTCCGTTATTCATTTTATTTGCTTATGAAATGTTTTAGGTTTTGTCTTGGATTATTTGCTAAGGCGCATTCAGTGGCCAAATGGATGCGCGGGCCAGTACGTCGAGAAATGATGTGACGAGTTTTAAGGTTTTAAATTATGTTTTCTACTGCTGTTAGTCTTCCTGGGCATTACTCAATTCAGCAAATCTCTGATGCCGCTTTTTTTGTATATGTTCTGTATGGATGTTTTGGAGAGGGTTTTGAAAATGATTTTCATTGGACATTTTTTTTCTTCTAGATTGTCTTGTTGGGTGAGGGAGCTGTAGGAAAAACGTCTGTTATGCTTCGCTATATTGAAAATAAATTCAATCCGCGCCATATTTCTACGCTGCAGGTAACTATTCACTAGATCCCTAATTTTGGTTCCACTTCTGATGCACTGATGCCAGCTTATAATGGATTTTAAGGCATCATTTTCCTGCAAGAAGATTACCTTGGATGGGAATACTATTGAACTAAATATTTGGGACACTGCTGGCCAGGAGAGGTTTCATGCGCTTGGTCCCATATATTACAGAGGTAGCCAAGGCGCTTTGTTGATCTATGACATCACCGACGAGCATTCTTTTGAAAAAGTACAGCTTTAATTTTTTGATCTGTATTGCTTGGTTTGATCCAGCTTACGTATGGAGTTGACTACTTCTTTTAATTTAGGTAAAGCTTTGGGTTAAAGAACTTCAGCGTATGTTAGGCGACACTGTAGTGCTAATGATAGTTGGGAACAAAGTTGATTTGTCGCGTAATCGCAACGTAGAATGTGAAGAAGCCTTCGAGTGAGCACTTTTTGCAATACAAATGCTTATTTTGTCAGTGGAGTTATATTGTGTCGGATTTTATTTCTAATTACATTTTAGGTATGCAAAATCTGTTGGCGCTGAACATGCAGAAGTCTCGGCGAAAGACAACATTGGAATAGATCAGTTGTTTGATCGCTTAACTCGCAGTAAGTTCTTACCTTTTTCGACTAGAACAATATTTTATCTCATTTAGTTCTATTATTTGCGCTTCTGGTTAGCCAGTCTCGACTAAGATTGTATTTTGATAAGGCTTGTCAATACTTGTTTTTGTGCACTGGTAAATTTTTCAATTTTGATTATATAAAATTCTTATTAAAAAGTTCTACTGGAAAACGTGGACTTTATTTTTTATTGTTAATTCTTTTGAATTATTTTTTTTATTTTGAGAACCAAACAGTTCAGGTGTTTTGGGCTAATTTTAAAATTTTTTGATAGGTTACTGTAATTTTCCTAAACTGCAGTTGTTACAAGTAATCTTGTGAGCTGCAATGGTGGTTTTTTATTTTTAATATTTTTTCCTGCTTTTTTTGCAGTTTTTCCCACTTTTAGTTGTTGACTTTAGGTATGGTTCAGAAAGCAGCCCTCTTCGCAGAATTAAGTCAGGACAATCAACCCGCTTCGTCTTTAAGACGCAACGATCTTCTAATAGTAGATGATGAACCGAAACCGAACAAGAAGTGTTGCGCTGTATAAAAATCTCTAAGAAAAATGGCGTTAACTTAAAATTTTTTTGGTTGAATGAATTACCTTCGTTTTGATTATGTTTATTGTTTTTTTGAAGATTAGAAGTTAGGCGGGTGCTAAATTTATTTTTTTAGCTTAAAAGAACTTTTGTCTAAATAAGTCTCGCTTCTGCAGAAGCTTTTCAAAAGCGTCTTGAAGAAATTCCTCAAAGTCATTATTGCTTCAGTTTTTTGATACTATTATTAGCCAGTTCATTATGTTTCTAGAAGTTGAGGCATTAGTAAATATAACTACTTTAACTTTTTACGAATTTCACCATTTTTATTTTGTCTTTCTGTTGCTGTTTAAAGCCGCAATTCGCAGCTCTAGTCATGAAACAGCTGTCAGTAATTCCAAACCTCAGAAAAATACGTTTTTTTAACCTTTTATTTACTTTGTTTCAAGTCAGTGGAATTATTCAGGAAAAGTCTCGATGAAAGTTGAGGTGTTTTGGGCGTCTTCACTTTTTCGCTCATAATTTTCTTTAGTAACTTTAAATTTTGCTGTTTAACTGAGCAGTATTTTTTTTTGTATTTTTTGGAAGTAGTTTCAAAAGTTTTAAAAGTTACTGTTTTTTTAAAGGGATGCTTGTTTATGCACTGTATAATTCAATTATTTTAATTTATTTTCATTATTCAGATGAGTGTTTTTTTTTAAATATATAAGTCTATCAAAGCGGTTAAAAGGAGTTCACTTTAAGGTAACTTTTGGTGTGTTTTAGAGGTAACTATAAGGAGTGAAACGTTCTCTAAATAGACTGATTACCTTTAGCTAATATTACAATTGGTATAGTAGTATTATTGTACAGATAGGTTACTTTTTTGACTTGAGTTTCCTTTCCAGTGTTTGTGACTTCAGTGAAACTGGTGCGAAGTTATAAGCTGATATCGGATTTTAGTGGAATTTAAATTTTAGTGTTTCTCTTCTGACATTTATAAACAGTATTGGAGTTTATTGAACTTTTGTGAAATTTGTGTTTCAAGTTCTTTACTACAGTAATGTGTAAGATGCTTGTGTGATTGTTTTTTGAATTAAAAATTCAAGTGTGGAATTCGATGCATTTGCAGTGAATAGGAGCGGAAAAAAAAAGAGGTAGATTTGGGTTTTGATCGCTTTAATAAAGCTTTTTTAAGAAATTGGTGAAACGAGTAATGTGCTGAAATATTAATTTGAAATGTCTTTTTTTGGAAGTCAAGTTTTTCTACAAAATTAGTGTGTTTTTTGCAGTTTATTGGTTTCTATAATGGGTTTCGTTATTTTGTTGTGTTTGTTGGACAGTTATATGAAGGTTGGTAGAGAACTGAAACGAGGGGTTTTTTTACTTTTCACAACGAACAGCACATACAAAGTTGCTAATAAAGCACGGTAACAGTGAAGCGATTGAAACTAGAAAATGATGCCTTTTCAACGAACAAATAAATAGATAGTGCATAAGCAAACAAACAAACGAAAGGAAGAGTCGCCGAATACACGCCTGGAACTCATTTCCTCATGAAGCAATGCCAGAGGGCAAATAAGATGCCCGGTAGCCAGAAGAGTAATGAAAGGACGAGGCATATCACCACGTTGATATTACAGTCCTTGTCGTGCCACCAAACTCCAACGAACTGAAAGTAGGGTTCAATATGTTATGGTAATAACTAGATAGTTGACCTCTTTTTTCAGTACGTTTGCCGCATAATTTTGTTAACTGCCTTTTTTCTTCTTTGGTTTGGTAAGAAGGGGCAGTTAGAGTGGGAGGGTAGTGTTAATCAGGTGTTGTGAAACACGGGAACACTGATATGGCCATCTTTACTTTTCACCTATGAATGGGCGTTCAGCAGCTGTTCTAAATGTGGGAATGGTTTGTGGAAAGGAACTGATGTATCACTTACCGGCAAAAGAATGCATAAAATCAAAGTAATTAATTGATTTTCGCTGCTCATCGTGGTCTGAGGTTTGTGTTGGGTTTGTTCAGTTTATTTGTTGAGGAAATAGACAAAATTGAACTTCTGAAATACGAAACCAATACATATAATTGACAGTCAGTTTCAAGGAACATTCGTCAACAGATACTTTGAAGAACGCGTACATAGTAAAATTTATTTAGTTTTTTTTGTAGAAAAAGATGAAAATATGGCTGTTGCAGAATTAAAATTTGAGGAATTTTCAATAATTTGAGTGTTGTGTCTTTTTAAGAACTGGCAAGACCAATAGAGTGCTTAAAAAGTTGAACAAAAAGTTTCTACATTATTTGTTTACACGACTAAATTAAAGCTTATTTTCTACTACTTTCGTTACAAATTTGTAGACAAAAAAAGGGCTGTAGAAACCCGGGAACTCGTTTAAAGAATCTAAAGCACTAATCAACTGAAGTAGATTGACAGTTTCCAGTTTTGTTTATTGCCGTATTGTAGACTGCCTTTTTTTACAGCTCTTCTTTTGCTTTGAAAAAAAAAAAAAGTAGTAATGAAGATAGAGGGGAATTATCTGTATATTACAAATATTTGAATGACTTACTTTTTTTCGCCTGCCAAAAAAACTTAGATTTAAAAAATTTTTTTTTCAAAATAAGACAAGAGAAAACAGAAAACGGCACTAACATCTGACAAAATGACCAGCATATTTTTGAAAGCACAGAACTGCAACAAGTATAAATGTATTTGATAAGGCACCACATCATAAATAAATCATTTGAAAAACTGTCAAAAGCTAAAGCAAAAAGAAAATTTCAAGATAAAATTTTTGTTGCTTAAACATATCTTTTTAGTTAGACTAATTTGCCACAGAAAGGAAAGGTGACAGAATAAGGAAGATTCAAGAAGAAACAGCAGACTGAAATAAGTCAACTGACAGCGTCATCACTGACACTGGCAACCTATTTAAACTGTTTTTAATGGCTCTTTAAACCGGAAAACATCCTGTAATACGCATATCTAAATTCAAAACATCTGAGCTTCGTTCTCGTCGCCATTCTTGAATGAAACAGACAATTAGTGGATGGCAAACAGGAAGGCGAAGAACTTAACGAAAGCGACAAAAGCGAAGAAGCTTTCTGCTTCAAAATGAGGAGGATGACTAAATTAACCAAGGTTTATGTCGTCCTTTTGTATTTATTCGTTCAAATCGTTTACATTTTCTATAGCTGATATCGCAGGAAACTCTTCTATACAATTTTGAAATCAATGTTTGAGTGACCTGTCATTATTGTTACTAATAACTACAGCTGTGTTCACAACGTAGGAGAGTATTTCTTTATAGCTTTTTCAGAAAGTGAACCAAAGGTCGGAAATTGAAGGACAGAATACTTCATTAGACTGCACAGATCAATGTCATTTTTGTTGACCAGCCAAAAATGCTTCCTTAGAAAATGACAAATTGAAGAAGTTGCTTCAATAAACCTCAATTTCTTTTGCTATTTTTTCTCTGCTTTCTTTTTTTCTATTATCCTTACTAGCAGCACTGCAAAAGTTGTCGATAGTATAATATTCGTTTAGTTTTATACTAAGTAACAGTTACTAATGCGAAAAAAATTATTGAGTTTTATTCCTTGTGGTACAGCAGATATGAAGGTAAATTAATCTTGATGCAAGACTTTCTAAGACCATTGCTTTTTCACCGTTCCGTTTGATTTATCAGAAAACCTTCACTGGCATGAAAATTTACAGTTTAACAAATGATTTCCTTTTCACTGTAGCCAACTCACTTTGAGCTTTTGGAGACTAAACTGCTCAGGAAGAAAAAATGCTTTTTAGCAATAAACCTTTAAAATATATTATTCATAAATTTTCACTAAAATTCGATTTAATGAACTAAAAAAGTTAAGAACCTAGGAATAATAGCAGAAAATAACAAAAATAAGATAAAATAAAACAGATTAATTTAAATAGAAAAATTGAATCAAGGAAAGGTCTCGATTATAAAGTGTGTAAACTCTATTTAACAAATCTATATAAAACCAAACAACAGTTCACACCGGAAAACGATAATTTCTGCTTAACACCAACGATTAGTGGGCGTATATGTGTATTTAACGATCACTGTAAACTGAGCACTGTATTTTTAATCGGATCAAGCGAGAAAGAGGAATACACTTAACTAAAATCTGTGACGACAATCTACAGAAAGCTGCAGTTTGAAAACAGTCATTTGTATCCGTTCAGTATCCCGCCTCTAAACTGTGCTTAGAATAGTAGAAGAAGAAAAAGCAGAAACAAAATTAAATTGTAAGAAAAAAAGCACAATTTTTATTTTTATTTTTTCCTGATAAAATTGGTAAAAAAATGCTGATAAATGTAACAGAATTATGTGTACAGAAAAAAAAACCTGTGTGGTGTTTTTTCGACTTATTTTAATTTTCACAGTTTTATTTCCGCAATCTGATGAAGTTTACACCATTGAAGAACGGAAATAAATTTTTTTTTCAAGTTTGAAAGACGAAATAGCAGCAGCAGCAACAGTTTTTCTCTATTTAATAAATTATGGCCCAATATATTTGAAAGATATAA